CACATCAGAAATTGAAATGATACCCACTGTTCCTTCATTCTGTCAGACCTGCATAAACAATGGCCAGGGTAAACACGAGAGTTGCAAGCCACTTCTCCACTGAGCTCCTTCTCATAATTCACAATATATATGCAAAATCAGTATAGCAGACCTTCCAGGACCTGAAGGATGTAATTTCTTTGGGTTCCTGATGAGCTGCTGAATAAAGAAGGGTTACTTCTTTGGCGTTTCAGGGCCTTAAACATCTTTCATGTTAGACAGCTCAGAAGCCAAAGGCCTTATTAAAAAGCACTCGGATCAGTTCTCTTCCCTGGACGTGAGGTTTGCAGAGAACCACCTTTCCTGTTCCGCTCGTAGGTGTATCAGGCAGCCGTGCCGTGTTTCCTGCAGTTTGAGTTGGGTGGTGCTCTGGGCCTTCTCACCCACCAACATTTCGACATTTTAAAAGCCTTGAATGGCTTTTAAAAGCCTTGAATGGCTTTTAAAAGCCATTTCAATTCTTGCTGGTTTAGTCCCACAAGGATAGAAAGATTATTGGCAGTATTGGAGAGATCTCTGCCGTTGTTTGTATGGACTTTTATTTTTCGTTTGGTAAAATATACAAGCAAGAAGGGCATTTGTCCTTAAAGAAATTCTAGGGGAGATGCATACCCCGAACTGTTCACCTCCAAACTGTGTCTTTAGGGTTGAAGATGGAACTTTTCTTCCGATTTACTGTTCTGATGTTCAGTCTTGAGGTGGCGTTGTGTAATTTTTTCAAGGCGAGGATGAGGACGTCTTATGGGGTGTGTTGGGAGTGAGAAAGATGGTTAACCTTGGAGGGCATTCTCAAGACCTGCTGATTGGAATTTGGGAAGGGGGCTTGGAGTGTGCATCATTCCAGATGTTAAGATCAGAAGAGATACTTAGTTCTGGGCCAGATTCCCATGTGGGAAGGCAGTCTCTGGGAATAACCAAGAAGTACCATTGGTTGGAGGGGACTCACAGGGCTGTTTCTCAGATGCAGATGAGATGGGTACAGCTCTGAACCCCACAATGCGGCATTGGGAGAGGAGGGCTACCCACTTAGAGGGCTGGGGTGCAGAGTGGAGTCGTGCTTGTTTCCAAAAGCTCCCCCCCCCCATGGATGGGCCCAAACATACTCATGAGGAGAGTTCTTATACTTAAATACTAGATTGGATCCAACAGACCTCTCTGGGCATGCTCAGAAATTCATTTTGGATGTTTGTGCTGCTGGAAAATGCTTTGATCAATAAATAATGTTTTGCAAGAAAGGCCCATGGCTTTGGGTGTGCAGAAGGAGCAACCCTGCCCCTCGACAGTGGGGTGTTTGAAAAGCAGTGGTGGTCCTTTTTATTGTGATTGTAAATCCTTTGCAAAGTTAGTTTCGCTTTTCTTGCTGCAGCTGCAGAGCTAAAACACCGAGCAAAGCGAGATGATACGAGAAGCAAGGCCATGTTGCTCTCCAGTTACTCTGGCTTCCTCTTCTCGACACACTTCGTTCGTTCGTTCGTTCGTTCAATCTTTCACTTGCTCTTTCTTTTGTTCATTCACTCTTTTGCTCGTTTGTTCTTCTCATTGGATCGCTCTCGTTTGTTCATGTGTTTGCACTCTCGGTTGTTCATTTGCTCACCCCCTCGCTCTCTCTTTTGTGGTGTGTCATTTGAGATCACAGGCGCTGTCCTGCCCCGTGTGCTGTCTGTAGGCTGCTCTGGGGGACTGGCAGAAGTGCGTGAGAAAATGACCTGAGCCAGACCTACATTTTAAACTGATGTAAATGCTCCAAAGAGAACCAGCGTATTGTGGGGATGAGAGTGCTTGACTGGAGAACCAAGAGAGCTGAGTCCAAGCCCCCATTCAGCCATGAAACTCTCTGGGTCACTTTGGGTCAGTCACAGGGGCTCAGCCTGACCTACCTGATTAGGGTTGTTGTTCTGAGGAAAAGTTGGAGCTACACGAGGCACTCTAGGTCCCTCTGACTCACTAGTCAGACCCCATCTGGAGTCCTGTGTCCAGTTCTGGGTACCAAGATTTAAGAAAGATGCAGGTAAATTAGAAAAGGTCCAGCGGAGGGCAATGAGAATGATCCAAGGTTTGGAAACACTGCCCTGCGAGGAGAGAATGAGAGAACTGGGCATGTTCAGCCTTGAGAAGAGAAGATGAGGAGGGACATGGTATCCCTCTAGAAGGACCTCAAAGGCTGTCACAAAGAGGAGGGTCAAGATCTCTTCTTGCTGATGCCAGAGTGCAGAACATGGAATAATCAACTAACTCAAGTTGCGACAACTCAGGTTCAGGCTGGACCTCAGGAAAAGCTTCCTCACCATCAGAGGAACCAGCTGCCTGGAGAGGTGGTGGGCTCTCCCACACTGGAGGCATCCAGAAAGAAACTGGACACCCACCTGAGTGGGATGGTGTAATGGAGTGTCCTGCAACAGCAGGAGGGTGGACCCGATAGCCTTCTTGGCCCCTTCCAATTCTTCTATTCCATGATTCTAAGAAGAAAGGCAGAATATATGGAATGCGCTCCCCAGAGAGGTCCACCTAGTGCCGTCGCTATTTGTTTTTCGGTGCCAGGCTAAGACCTTTTTATTTAAAACTTATTTTAATTGTTAATTTATTATGTATTTTTAGGATTTTAAATTTTATGCCGAGATGTTACCAAGTTTTTAATTAATTGTACTAATTGTTATTTATATATTTTAATTATGTTGTGAGCCGCCCCGAGGCTTTGTTGCGATGGGGGCGGCATAGAAATGTTTTAAATAAATAAATAAATAAATAAATATAAATGTAATGCTATAATTGAGAAACATAAATAAAGAACAAACGCTTTTTAAAAGGTGGTAAATCAGCTGCAGGACAGTATAGAAAATGTAGCAGCAGCAGATTGCTCCACGCACTGTCGCTGCCCTGATGCACCTGAACCTTCCTCATCCCTCACCAAAACTTTAAAATAATGCAAGGGGAATTCCTGAGCTGGAGCACCAGAAGGAAAGGGGGATGGGGCCAGCTCACAACAGGCAGACCTAAGTTCAGAAGGGCTGTCCAGGCACAAGTTCCCCAACTTGGTTGAGATCTCTTGCATTTTGCTGGGAGGTGAGAGAAAATGGCAGGGAATATCAGCCCTCAGTACTTCTGCTGGTGCTCAAGCTTCCCACTGCTGCTGTTTGCATTTAATGCCCCATGTTGTGCTTGTTTGCATTGGAGGAACATATTTTTCTGGTCACCTCTTCCTGTTCAAGGTTATTTCTTCCATGTTTATTAAATGCGCATCTCACATTTCCCCCACCGATGGTGCACCAGGAAGGTCCCAGAAATAAATAGTTTAAAAATAGAAAATTGGAATTAAAACATAAAAGCAAATCTATGAAGAGTACAACAGTAAGAAAGAAACAGTACCAAGCTAGAACACGATGCCCGTCGTTTGCTTTGGACATCTTGCCTGTTTTGTCTCAAAACTGTTTGGTAAATGAGATCTTATTTTCTATGCATGTTAGAAAATAAGAACCCTGCAAGGTAGGCTGAGAATCAACGACTGGACCGGAGTCACCTAGTCACTTCCTAAAAGTCCAGTGTAGTTCTTGTCTCAGAAGAAGTGCTCATATACATGATTAAAAAATACATCGCTTGAGAGAAGCTATATTTACAGCATGTATCTAAAGCAGATTTCCATGGTCTCAGAATAAAATATGGCAACTCTGTCTATCACGTATCCTTGTATTCTGCATCTTTTCCATTGTAAGCTTGTGGGGTAGAGATGATTTTTAGTTATTAATCCCTCGTACACCACTCCGGGTTTCTTTCCTGGCTGAATAAAAATACTCAAAGTAAAAGGCTATTTGTACAGGCTTTTAGGCACAAGATAGGCAAATGCTTTCTGTGTTTTAAATTGATTCCGTTGGTGGTTTTATTGCATGTTGTTCTATATTTATGATTATAGAGTTATTTTTTTAATGATGTTTATGTGGTGTACTGTGATTTATATCTTTGTTTGGCACCCTATCTGTTTATATCTAGAATTATGTATGGACTGTTTTTTTAGAGTTGGATTCTGGCTCTTGTGAGGAAAAAAGGATAGAAACTGAATATATAGCATGACAACACAATAGACATACACAATTCTATTCCCTTTTTTCCCCTTTTTTCGGCTTGCTCCCCATTCCGGCAGTGGGGCAGGAGAAAAATGGAAATAAATACACTTTTCCTCTTATAATTACACTCCCTATCAATGCAGCATGCATATTTTCTGCATGTGCTTTTAAAGAAAAAGCAATGTGTAAATCAGGCATTCAGTGAATGCTAAATAAGTGTCAGATCCTAGGATGCTGTGATTTGCATGTCTTGTTTTCCAGGTAGCAAGAAATAAAGATCTTTGCATATCTTAATGTTTGCCTGCTCATTCTCAGTCACGACAAAAAAGCAAACTGACTTTGGGTAATCAGTGCATGTGTTGCACAAGAAAAAAGAGGACCTACAGGGCTATTTGCTTTTGAAAATATACCCACACCCTGGCTGTGTACATGGTACACCGCGTGTATCCTGCTCAGTCCTGGACTGTCACAAAGCTATTTAGCTGATGTCCAGGGCACCGAATGCCAAGCACGTCATGGGCATCACTTGATGTGTGTCTATTTCGTCTCAGCCTAGGCCAAAATACCATCATTAATTCATTACCCAGCTGCCTGTCAAATAAATTGGCAATTACACCCACAGCCAGAACCTGGGATTCTGGTAAATAGCATGTAACTATCAGTGGAGTGCTTGGAAGTGTGAGCGGGTGGGTGGGAATTAAGTGACAACAGTGTGTTTGTTTTGCTAGCCGATGACAAGGGACATTCTCCCACCATGCATTGTTGTGGGGATGGGCAGGGCGGGGGACCTGTTTGAAAAGAGCAAGTAATGAGCGACAGTGGTTGGAATATATTTTTTAGAGAATAAAAGAACCGTGTAAGAGCAAGGTATCTGATTTGTCTGTTTTTTTTCTCTCTTCCTTGCAGAGTTCAGCTCAATCCAGCTTGGGAACCGGCTACTTTGTAAGTGGATGTCAGCGTGTTAAGTGTTTCTTGGAATGGCACGGGAATGATGATACTCAAATTGCGGCATTGCAGCACACTAAGCTGCTGAACTTGAACAAATATTTGATGGTGTCCATAGATGGCTAGAGAACGAGAGGTGTGCAGCTTAAGTCTGTTGTTACCCAGCCCAGCTCTTCCTTGGCCTGCGCCCGCTTCCTCACCGCGTTCCCCTCAGACCCATACATTAGAACCCCGTCCCTACGCACCATCTGCACTTTCTGCTGGCCCTTCCTTTTTGCATTGTCTCCTTCTTCCCCTTATCCAACCCAGGCTGCTTTCCCCTCATGCCTCTACTTTCCATGCTGGTATTTCTCTGGCTTGCGTTCCTGCAAAATTCTTCTAGTCCTTCGGTTATTGCAAAGGACCCCTGTTCTGCACGCTTGAGGGACACGCTCCAAATAACTATGACCATATAGAGCTGAGCGGCTTGAAGGTCTCCAATCAACTGGATGTCCCGATTTCTCTCCCCTGTTCTAGATCAACTGTATTTTGTCTAGATGCCTCTTAACTCACCATTAATCTCCCTGTGGTACAGCTCTGGTTGGCTGGTCAATGACCAAATATAGAATTGATTGCTGGATTGATTGATTGATTGATTGATTGATGTACAGCTTTGGAACCATGGGAGAATTTAACCACTCCTAGATTGATGTGTAGGAAAGGTCAATTGTTTGGAGGGATTTTGCTCAGGAGCTGAAGGTTATATGGTGATGCACCCTGGGAAGATTGGGTTGCCTGCCAGACTTGGCAGGATGGAGGGCTGTGGCACATGGTTCTTCCAAGGACTAGTCCATGTCAGAAGAGAACAGAGTTACCTCTTCAGGGGCACATAGGAGGAATAGTGAACGAGCAGTAAAGCTAATGAAGCAGGCTTCTTATGATTGGGGTGGATTCTAACTTTCTGTCCAGAGCTGGTCCACAGAGATGGGTAGTCTCTGATGCCAAGAAGGTTCACACGCAAAATGGTGACTTTATGGGAGAAACTATGGGATGAACATAGTTTCTCTTTAAATGTTGAGAAACACCAAGGAAGTTTCTTCATGATAACTATAGGGAGGAATTAATATTGTGGTCTATTTTGACAAAAGTTGCAATTGTGAAGCATCTATCCATATGTTCTTGGTGTGTACAACATTTGCTATCTCCTTCCAAGAGAAATCCAAGCTAGTATTTTCCCTTCACTTCTAGCATTTTACTCGTTCGCAGACATGTATTGTGTTCTCTTCGCAGACATGTATATGGGCTGGCTGCTCTCCCCTTCAAATCCCACCTACTCAAGTTTATTCATATTGGATGATGCTTGTTTTGGTTTTCTAGTCCTACAGAAGTTTCCCCAGCTGTCATGTTTGGTTTTGACTTGTTCAGGGCATGAATATTATCAATCAGGAATGTTTCTTGTAATGTACCCTCTCTCAAGCTTTCAGCCAGTAATAGAGCAAAACAAGCTTCAGTTCAGACAGTCATTTTAGCAAGGTCTCTTCTGCAGGCCTGAAATCGTCATTGCCTTCAGATTGCCCACACCCTGTACTTGCTGCCAAAAAACAATAATACAAAGTTGATTTCAGATATAGAAGAATCATAGAACAGTCAAGTTGGAAGGGGCCAAGAAGGCCATTGGGTCCAACTCCCTGCTCAGTACAAGCCTTCAAGTCAAACTGTGCACTATACCTTTTATATTATATTGCTTTTCTATCTGTGTTCAAAAATGTGGCATTGTACGTGAAAGACCTGCACAGGCTATACCTGTTGATACGCATGTGCTTGAATTTTTCTGTTTCCAATTTCTTCTGTGAACATACTCCTTTATACCCACCATTTTGCATAAACCTTTGTGTTTTTTACTTTATGGGGTTTGGGCAATCTGGGGTGTGTGTCCAATGTCACATATAAAATCCCAAATGTCTCTAAGGTGTTGAAGAATAGAGTGAAAAAATGCACAAGCTAATGCTGTGTGTATACCGAATTCCCAGCAAGTCAACGCTTGGCTTCCCCTGCAGTGTCCTTTTCAGCAATCGAAATGAGGCTAGTGGTGAGTTTCTACTGTCATCAGACCTTTGTAAATGTACTGCTATTTCCAAGGATCTCTTATTGGATCCTTATCTACCTATTGTTCAATGCTGCTATACACCATTTCCGTCAACGGCACGCGTTTTCAATGGACAATGCAGTTCGCTACCTTCTCTAATGATATTCTTCTCGCTTTTCCCATATGAGAACTAAGTAGGAGTAGCCGTGAGCGAAACCACAGGAGCATTGGGAGAGTTTGCTGTACGCACTGGACTGGTCTTTAATTTTTCTTTCTTAGACTTCCTACTGCACAAAACACAAAGCATAGCTCCCCCTGGTCACCCCTCTACCAAGGATCCCGTCGAACCCCCTTCTTTCCTTTCATTCTCACAGTCCCAGGAATCCCTTCGATGCGCATGGGAGCTTACCTAGCAGTAGAAATTTGTTCCATGAATCTGCTGCCTGCAGTAATTGCCGTTTGGTTTTGCTGAAATGTTGACAGTATCATGTGACAGGCTCAGTTCTGTCCTTTGCCTCTCGGACAGCAGGCACCTCTCCGAGCAACAGAGATCCTTCTGTCTTCGGTTGCTGAGGAAAATAAACTTTTTTAGCATCCTGCACATGGTGTGTGGCCCCTGGAAGCAGGACAAGGTGTCAGTAACAGCGTCTGTTGTGAAATCTGCAGGCTGCTCAAGCTGTTAATCACAGACGTGGCATGTGCTGCTAACTACGTGGGACGGGTTTGCATGTTGCTTTGTTTCTTGCTTCCCGTGCTGCTCTTCCAAAGCAAGGGCCGTGTCCACGTGGCCTGAACACGTAAGAGCAGGCGTGCACATTTTTCGTGCAAAAAGCAATGATCTTGGTGGTAAAAGAAAGGCTAAAATCCACCCGGTGCAATGCCTTTATTAGGCTTTCTCACAGATACCCCTGCAAAATGCACACTCTGGAGATCTTGAAATCTGGCACAATTTTTCTTATCCATGAGTGCCCAAAAGCTGAGTTGGCTTCCCAAATGCCACTGAGAATTGACCCCACGATGGCATCATGCTGCATGGATTTCCAAATCTCTTTGTCCTGTTCTATATTTTAGCTTTGAAGTGATGCGAGGGGCATATGACACCACCAGAATTCACACTGCACATGTCGGGCTCCTTTCTGTTTGGCCGTACGGCACGCGGCATCTTTTCTCCACTAGCTCTGAGAGACTTTTGCCAAATTTTGCATATACGCTTTTGATGGCTGCTCCAGTTCTGGATATCTGTTTCCTTTCTATACTCCCAACAGCCGACACTTTCCAGGCACATAGCGAAAATCCCTCCAAAGCATAAGATGCAATGCAAAATGCAACAAAAGCAACACAGAATTGCAAAATTTCGAGCTGGGTTCCCATGAATGGGGAGAACTTAAAACAGGATTTTAAAAGTTCATTTTAAAAAATGAAATTTACAATTTCAATTTAAAAAAAAAAATAAAACAGGATTTAATTTACCCTAGATTTGGAAGAAGGAATTCAAAGAAGACAATATAAATCAGAGGAGTACGGCATCTTTCAGGCTGAAGTTTCAGACAAGAGTTTGGGGCTATTTTGTAGTGGCGGGCAAGGCCATGGTGGAAAAAGAAGAAGAGGAATGATGCAGGGGAAGGACAGGACTAAACTACCAAGAATTTTAAAAGACAACTTGTTGGAGGTGGAAGCCCTTATGTCCAGCACCTGCGTCTTTGGAGAGCCATTTTAAGGTTTTAGAAAGGAGGAACATCTGCACAGAATACAGGAAATTAATGAATGATGTATCATTGGGAAAAGAGGTGGAGCCTGGGGAAGGGGTGTGGCCCTCTGGAGAACCAGGGAGGATGGGACTGGAACTCCGGGAGAGGGGAAGGTGCCTTGCATTGGCCGTCCAGAACGCCAGCCTCTGTTGGGCAACATAATGGAAGAAAAATGGAGAGGGACAATCTGACAGCCAGCAAGGTTGGTAGGGAGAGGCAAAGGTTCCCATGCAAACACTGTAACTCCTCAAGTAGGGGCAGATCCGGTCTCATGAACGAGGAGAATGTTGCTTTCAGCTTTTGATCGATCTACGCAGTTTGGGAGAAATTGCATCTCCAGAGTGAGGTATCCCTGCCTCTGAGCATATGCAAGCCGCAAAGAGGCCAGATTCCTTTCCTTCAGGACATAAGAAGTTACAACTTCTAGCACATGCAAATGCGCAAAAATGGTGTTCACATGCTTAGCGCATGATCCTATATGCTTTCCCTCCCTCTTCACACCTGGGGTGTAAGCGCTACTCAGCTCCACAAGAGTTAACTCTGAGACCACACCGAGAGTCATACAGACCATGGGGAATTGTGATCAATCTTGGTTTTGGTTTGTGTTATGAAAATATCAAGACCTAGGAACGTGCAGCACGAGAAGTGGATCAGAGGTGCTTAGAAAAGATAGTGAAAGCTGTGGAGGGTCTGGAGGGATTGGAAGATTTGTTGTTGTGTAGATTAAGGATTTCTTTTGTGTTACACTTTCATGGAGTGTTGGAAGACAGGCAGAAGGACAGATTTCGGAGCCTGATGGTATAGGTTGGATCTGTATTGAATTCCCTTGGCAATTTTGTCCATGTCAGCTTTTTCCGTTTATTATAGTTGTTTTGTCCTCTCACTCTCTCATTCGCTCTCTCTCTCTCTCTTTCACACACACACACACACACACACACACACTTGAGAGAGTCTTGTTACATTTCCGAAATTACAAGCATGCTAGATTTGATGATGAAGTGACACATTTTCAAACTTGGCAGCATCTCTAACATTTGTATATTCCATAGACACTTAAACAACAGTTTTTAGCTTACTATGATAATCTTACCGCAGGCAAACTGCAATGTTCGATTCTACAAATATTATCATGAAAACAAGGTGTAGTTTGGAAATCTTGTTGTTGGTGAAGAATGCATGTTTTC